TACATATATGTGTATATATATACATACACATATATACATATATAATATACATATACATATATACATGTATATTATTATTATAATATACCCATATACACATATACATATTAATATTATAATAATAGCATACATGTATATATGTAATATATATTATATATTACAATACATATATATATATACGTATATATACATATATGTGTATATATATTATACCCATGTATGTATTATAGTATACATATACACACATATATACACATATACATTATATATGTATTATATATATTGTAATATACATATATACATGTATATACATGTATGTGTACATATATATATATATATGTATTTTATAATATATATACATGTATATACATGTATGTGTACATATATATATACATACATATGTTTATATTATTTATAATATACATATATACATGTATATACACATACATGTCACATATATTATAAAATACATATGAGACCAAGCCAAGCCAAGCCAAGATAGCCCCTAAGCATAGTCCATGCCAAGACAGTCTTGTGTACCAAACGAGCCCTAAATGATGGCAAATTGCTTGGCTAATGGGAGCTTCAATCGAGATCTGGGCTTCTGTATTTATGATGTTGCTCCTAGTTGGGTAGGTTCCTTGTTAGCTGATGATGTGTTAGGGGTGTCTCGAACCTGTTTGATTTGTTCTGAGTCTGTTTAGTTTGCTTTTGGGGTGTTAACCCCCCTTTTTTCACCCAAAATAAAAAATTGTAAATGATGGACTAAATTTTATGGGTGGGCTATATTTAGCCCTCCATTGTTGGAGATGGCCTTAGGGCCCAAATGTGGATGATCCTACCAACTTCCCTCTTTGTTAAAAGGGAACTGTCCTTAATGCTTAAAATTCGAGGTAACTAGGTCGAACTCTCCTTTTGGAACGTGAGATTTCAAACCTAGAAATGTAGTTCATTTTATGGTTTAATTCTTGGATATTATACTAAAAATGCATCCAAGTTTGTCCATGTTTGGAAAGAAAGCCATCCACATGCATATTTTAATTGATTCAATGTATGTATTCATTCAAATCTCATATGTTACAGATCTCAAGTCTTTGCATTTACCCGCATTTAAGAGAAAATCTTGGACATCCACGTCACCATGAGATTTTTTCTCTCCCCAAAACACAGATTTGGAGTTAATCGTGGTGAGCCAAAAGGAAAGAATACAAAATGATTTCCCTTTTTTTGGACATTCCTTATCCTACATTATTATTTTATTCCTTAATTAGAATTCTTGATGAAAAAGCCCTTAGCAATAGCAACCCATATATGGCCAAGTTTGCTTGTTTGTTGTTGTTGATGAGCACGCTTTATTGTGATGCCTTTTTTTCTTTGACTAGATTTTTTCTCAATTTGGGAGGATCTATTTTTTGTTTTTGGGCAGTAGTGTTCTTTTTTCTTTTTGTTTCATCGTGATTGTTTCAAGAGTGAATCTTTGTTAAATCATGTTGTTCCTTCCTGGCTTTTACGTTGGGTTTTGGATGTCTTGATCCTCTCCGCTGTATAATCTTATGGTGTTCTAATAAAGCATCTATCCACCAACAAAAAATAGCAACCCATAAAAAAATAAAAATAAAAATAAAAGATAAAAAAAACCAACCGCTTAAAATATGCATATGGCCTTCTTTCCAAACAAGGATTTGGATGCATTTTTAGTATAATACCCAAGAATTGAACCATAAAAATGAATTACATTTCTAGGTTTGAAATCTCACGTTCCAAAAGATTTCCCTTTTTTTGGACACTCCTTATCCTACATTATTATTTTATTCCTTCAGAATTCTTGATGATATAAAAAATAAAAAATAAAAGATAAAAAAAACCAACCGCTATATATACCTTACCTAGCAACATCAATCTCTACCCTCAAACTAAAAAATTCAACAAAATCAATAACTCAGTCACGTACAATGCGTCTTCAATGGGTTATTGCAGTCCTTGTTCTGGTCGTTCCTCTTGTGACTGCTGCTGCCCCAGATGAAGTTCTTGAGACTTGGGATCCCGTACAGAACACCAGCGAACCATATTGGATAAACACCGCAGAGTTCGCTGTCACTTCGTATAACAAGCATGAGAAGAAGAATTTGGTGTTTGAAAGCGTGGTCAAGGGCAAGACACGCTACGAGGTAACAGGCCTCTATATTGTTCTTGTCATTAAGGTCAAAGATGGGTCATTGCCCAGTGCAAATTATGATGTTGCAGTACGTGATAAGTATGCTGGTCCTAATCCTTTGGATTTGATATACTTCCGCAAAAGACCTCTCAAATTTTATTTGGATAATGTTCAATGATATGTTGCTGTAATTGTGACATCTTCGTTTACAACAAAACAATACAAATTAATAAAGTATTCTAAATCTTTTTAATTGTATAAGTTTGAATTTTTGTTCTTCTTTTTTGTTGGGATTTTATTTTGTTTTTTGAGGGAGGAGAGGAAAGAGAGAGTCATTGACAATAATTTCGTGACTGCGAGATCCAGACAGAAGGAAGAAAGATATGAAGAGAGGCTGTGGCGGAAAGAGGAAAGATAGGGTTAGGGTTAAGGCCCAACCTAAACTCACAAATTTGGAGTCCTGCCGGCTAGGCCCAATGAAACTTTGATGAATAACTAATTGATTTCCTTTCTTTCAGTTATTCTCGTCCCGTGTCACTGTGTCATGTGCTATTAATAGCAAAACGGGTTCTTCCAATGTATAAAATAAAAATTCTAATGGCTTTTGCTATTATAACCTTCTCGACCACATAGTAGTAGATTTTTTTTTGGGTTAATTACACTTTAGTACCCTGCGGTTACACCCTCAAGACATGTTAATCCCTATCTTCTCAATTTTTTCAGTCACATACCCGAATTTTTAAATTTGTTACAATGTGGTTCCGCCATTAGGGTTTCCGTCATATTTCTCCATTAGTTGCCTACGTAGAACTGTGGGTCCCACATTTTCAATTTTTGTTAATTTTAAATTGATTAAAATATGAATAAAATATTTATTTATTTGCTTGTTTTTTAATAAATATATTATTCATTTTTTAATCAATTTAAAATTAACAAAAATTGAAAAATGTGGGACACATAGTGTCACGTAGGCAACTAATGGAGAGATATAACGGAAATCCTAACGGCGGAACCACATTGTAACAAATTTAAAAGTCTGGGTATGTTATTGTAAAAATTGAGAAGATAGGGATTAACATGTCTTGAGGGTGTAACCGCAGGGTACTAAAGTGTAATTAACCCAAAAAAAAATCTACTACTATGTGGTCGAGAAGGTTATAATAGCAAAAGCCATTAGAATTTTTATTTTATACATTGGAAGAACCCGTTTTGCTATTAATAGCACATGACACAGTGACACGGGACGAGAATAACTGAAAGAAAGGAAATCAATTAGTTATTCATCAAAGTTTCATTGGGCCTAGCCGGCAGGACTCCAAATTTGTGAGTTTAGGTTGGGCCTTAACCCTAACCCTATCTTTCCTCTTTCCGCCACAGCCTCTCTTCATATCTTTCTTCCTTCTGTCTGGATCTCGCAGTCACGAAATTATTGTCAATGACTCTCTTTCCTCTCCTCCCTCAAAGACAAAATAAAATCCCAACAAAATAGAAGAACAAAAATTCAAACATATACAATTAAAAAGGATTTAGAATACTTTATTAATTTTTATTGTTTTGTTGTAAACGAAGATGTCACAATTACAGCAACATATCATTGAACATTATCCAAATAAAATTTGAGAGGTCTTTTGCGGAAGTATATCAAATCCAAAGGATTAGGACCAGCATACTTATCACGTACTGCAACATCATAATTTGCACTGGGCAATAACCCATCTTTGACCTTAATGACAATGACAATATAGAGGCCTGTTACCTCGTAGCGTGTCTTGCCCTTGACCACGCTTTTCAACATTCTCGTACCGCCATGTCTATTTTGCTGAAGCATTTCTTGACAGAAACTAAACGGTGCGTTTTGGTATTAGGTCATTTACGCAAAATTACAAACTGTGTAGACGAAATAGGGAGGGAAGAGGAAAGTAGTCCACATACTTTGTATTGTGTTGTGTTTTGGATTGGGCTTTTATTTTGTTTGGTTGAGTCTTGCTTTTATTTTTTTGATTTTTGTATTGAGCTTTTATGCAACTCTTTTTTTTTATGGTAATGACATGTTCATTTCTTTGAAAAAAAAAAGTTGTGTTGTGTGCATGTTGGTTAGGTATAAAGTTTACAACTTATAATAATGATTAATGTCACAAAGTCATACGTTTTTGTGTGAAAATATTCTTAGTAGAGTGTTACATCATTTTCTAATTAGAAGATATCTTAAGTTTGAATTTGTCCACCCATTGATCAAATAAGAAAAACATATCTCTTGGTCCTATATGTTCATTGTAATCAAGTATCTATTTAGCATTGAAAGTGTGGCAAGATGAACATTATCATAAAATAAAGCTTGTTATTACATGTTACCAATGTTATTGTGAAAAGTAATACACTAATGCATATAAAGTCCAAGTATAGCCTTAAATAAAACACAATTTGCTAAGTTCTCTCCATGCCTTTGGTATTTTTTTCTTAACACAAGCGATATTGGAGGAGGGGAGATTCGAACGCAGAATCTCGAGCACTTGAGTTACAAGCCCCTTACAAAAAAGAACACGTACATAGATCGGAGCAAAGATAACACAATGAATAGTCATAGTAAAACATCCCCTACTCTAATTTGAAAGTAACAAAAACACCCTTTTAGAAGTATATGCGCTGCCTGATTAGAATGATTTGGTATACAACAAAGGAACAGCTATACCAAAATATTTTGTCAATAGAATTTAGATAGTGACTCGGAGGGTTAGAGATTGGACAGGAGTGGAATTTCACCATTCACCGCTAAAATCCAGAAAAAGGAAAGAACTAATAACTCCGTCGTTTATGCGTACGCCCAATGGCGGGAGCCAACGGTTTAAAGTTTAAAGTCGAGTCTCAGAGACTCGGAGCTTCTTCTTCAACCAAGGCCTGCACAAACCATAACATTATACCCAACGCCATGACTGGAAAGTTCAGAAAATAATAAGAAAATCAAATGAGCTATGAAGTTTCACTTCTACAAAGAAACCACAAAGACCATAGCTGAAGTCGCCGGTGAGCAGATCCTCAAACTGAACCAAAGTCTCGCAAAGCTCACTCGCTCCCATTGTTACTCAGAGGCCCTCCAACTTTTCACCCAAATCCTGTCCTCGCAATCCGTAAGACCAGACCACTACACGCTCTCTGCAGCCGTCACGGCCTGTGCTAACTCCCGCGACGTCGTTTTCGGAACCCAACTCCACGCCCACGCCATCCGAACTGGCCTCAAAGCCTACCCTCACGTCGCCAACACGCTGCTCTCGCTCTATGCAAAAGCCGAAGATTTGAATTCTGTGAAATTGGTTTTCGATGAAATTGAAAACCCAGATGTTTATTCCTGGACGACGCTGTTGTCGGCATGTACTAAACTGGGGCATGTGGATTATGCATCTAAGCTGTTTGATACAATGCCTGAAAAGCGTAATGTGGCGATTTGGAATGCAATGATTACTGGGTGTGCAGAGAGTGGCTGTGAGGAGGTGGCTATTGGGTTGTTTGGAGAAATGCATAGGATGGGTGTTATGCATGACAATTATAGTTTTGCTAGTGTTTTGAGTTCTTGTGCTTTGGAGGGTCTAGGTTTTGGGAGGCAGGTGCATACGTTAGTGATTAAAACTGGGTTTTTGGGTAGATCTTCTGTTGTTAATGCTCTGCTAACTATGTATTTTAACTGCAGAAGTGTTTTGGAGGCATTTGAGGTTTTTGAAGAAGCAGAAGATGCGGTATATGACCAGATTACTTTCAATGTGATGATAGATGGTTTGGTGAATGTGGGAAGAGATGAAGAGGCTTTGAAGATGTTCAAATTGATGCAAGAGGTATGTCTTAGACCTACTGAACTGACTTTTGTAAGTGTTATGAGCTCATGTTCAGCTGCAAGAGTTGCCAACCACATACATGCCCAAGCTATAAAGTTGGGTTTCGAAGCTTTTACTTCTGTGAGCAATGCAGCAATAACCATGTATTCTGGTTGTGGGGATTTGCATGCAGCTTACCTGGTTTTTCAGGTATTAGAAGAGAAGGATCTTATATCATGGAACACCATGCTCTCGACTTATTCTCAGGGAAATAGCAGTAAATTGGCCATCTTGATCTACCTACAAATGCAGAGGGCAGCGGTAAAACCAGATGAGTTTACTTTTGGAAGTTTGTTAGCAAGCTCCGAGTTCACTGAGACTGTGCAAGCGGTTCAAGCCCTTGCACAGAAATATGGGCTTATCCTTAACATTCAAGTTTCAAATGCCTTGGTTTCTGCATATGCTAAGCAGGGTAACATGAATCTGGCCTACC